TTTACAGTTTACAGTTTATAGTTTACAGTTTACAGTTTACAGTTTATAGTTTACAGTTTACTGTTTACAGTTTACAGTTTATAGTTTACAGTTTACAGTTTACAGTTTACAGTGTACAGTTTACAGTTTACAGTTTACAGTGTACAGTTTACAGCTTACAGCTTACAGTTTACAGCTTACAGCTTACAGCTTACAGCTTACAGCTTACAGTTTACAGTTTACAGTTTACATTTTACAGTTTACTCGGCCCTGCGCTCGACCATCTTGGGAGACCGGACACCGGAGATGTCAGGCGTGAGTCCGCGTGTCAGTCGGATCAACGTCCTCTGTCAAGCTGTCCAGCGTCCCTCGTCGCATCTCGCCGGTATCGATCCGCTCGCGCGGGATCGTTCGGGCCGATGTATCGCGTGCTGTCCGGATCGAGCACGGAACGTAATATCGCGTTGAATGGCAGTCGGTGGTCCTCCGGTTGACTCTGGCGACGCGACCACCCCGTCGCCCAGCCCTGGGGAGCAGCGTTCTCTTCTCATCGATCTCCCCGTGTGGATAGGAAAGTTCGGCTACGGTTCGATCCCGGCGACGATCCAAGGATCCCGCCGGGTAACAGGGTTTCGATGGTCCGACAAAGTTCACCGGAGAGATTGAACACAGTTAACGGAATTACGAACGGAACGGAGTCGTTGTCTTCGTTACGATAAAAATCCGAAATCGGCGGTCTCGCCCGGAAAGTAATGGCATCGTCGACCGAGAGAATGCGCGCCGGCCCACCGGATTGGTTGTCAGCGAATCCGAGGCGGACAGACGTTCCGTTCGGGCAGAGACGCCGGCCAAGCCTCGATCGCGATAAGGGAGAGAAAAGCACGAACGTCCGAGTCTCGTTGGCCGTTTCCGGCGTACCAAAATCTCTCTCGGATTGCTCTTTACCCTGCGCTCCCTCCCTCCGTGCTCCTGCCAACCACTGCCGGGTCGGATCCAACGACGAAACGGTCCCTGTCTCTGTCGAAGCCCTAACAAACTGGTCGGGGCAGCGCAGACTGTCCTTCTCGGTTGGCAGTTCTTGCGGATCCTGATTTCATGGTGTCGAGCAGCGGGAAGGAGTTCCGTGCATCCTCTGGAACTCGATCGATCACCGGATTTCAATCGCAATTAAATATTCCCCGTCCCGTCGACGAGTTCGTCTCGATGATCACCGGTGATTCCTTGTCGGAGTGTCATTTAGCTCAGGCACGGGCGCGGATTGTTCAACGATCCAAAGACCACGCCCAGTCACTGCACTCTGCATGCAGAGAACAAGGTGGGCGACGTCGTTGCTGCCGATGCTACAAGATTAAAGTCGTCTCTCGTTAGCCCCCAGGCTTCGCCCAGGGGGGACGATCTCCGACAGTCGTCGCCCGTGCCTGAACTAGCTGCGATCACCGGTCGAAGAATACGCGGAGATCAAAACAAAAGTCTAGAAAAGAGGAAACAAATGGAGGAATATTGCAGCCGCCGCTCGTCCTACGGAACCTTCGAGTTCGCCGGCGCTATCGATCGATTTGCTTCGGACCGATTGCTATCCCTCCGTCGCAGACAGCGGTTCTTCTTCGTTCGGCGAGGTCCTCGCGACACGCGAAACATTCCCGAATTTCCAGCGATGGTTCCCGTTTGTGCTTTTTCGTTTGTCGCCGCGCGTGCGTCTACGCGAGCGAGCGGCCGCGGACGCAGGCGCCACCCGCGCAGAACGACAACGCGATGGTCGATCGAGAGAATGCGAATGAGATATCGCGCCGTGCGCTCCCGAGCGCTTGAGATCGTTCCATATATAATACTACTCGCGTATAGGTGCGTTTTAATCTCTATGTATGTAATACCTATATTACGTGCACGCGTGGACACAGAACGGATGTTCACGCGCGCCCTGTCTCCCTTTCTCGTTTCGCTAATTCTTCTCCCTGGTTTACGTATAAATATTTTGCACGCGTCCCCCATCGGGCGTGTACGTGCGTGTATTTTTATTTTCGTATGCGCGCGTGTATGTGTGTGCGTGTGTCTGTGTGTGTGCGCGTGTATGTATTAATGCGCGCGTGTCCGCGTGTATGCGCGTGCGAGTACGTTACGCGTAAGTTGCTCGCGCGAGTTGCTTTCGGTTAATTTTTCTCGGTATACGCGTACGTGAACGTCATTTTACTTGTTAATATAAAATCGGCAGTTCGGGCAGTTCGACGTCTCGCCGCACGACTCTAGCCTTACGTATGAAACCAGATTTACAAAAATACGTTGCGCGTGTGTTTCGCGTATTTGGCACTTTTTCTCCCCTCTCTGACCTTTCCTCGCCCCCCCCCCCTCCTTTCCTGCTCCCACCCAGCCACAGCCAAAACTAGTTCTCGCTCACACTCATTCCAGCATTTCGCACCCGGTCATCGTTCTTCCTTCACTCTCGTTGACGTGCAACATCATGCAAGCTTCACCACGCACGCAACTATACATACATACATTCTTGCACTCTTTCCCGTTTCTCTCTCTCTCTCTCTCTCTCACTCATTCTCTCTCTTACTCCCTGCACCCTCATCGTTCGCAATCGATCAAATTACCTTTTCCCTTTCTCCTCTCTCGCTTTTCCTTTCTCACAACATCTCTCAATTTCTCTCACATTCTCTCTCTCTCTCTTTCTCCCTCGCTTTCTCTCTATCTTTCTCGCACTCTCCCTCTCCCTGTGCCTCTCGGTTGCGAAGAGTCCGGCACAGAGATCCCTAGGTAATCGTACTAGGTCCATAGTTCGGAGAGGGAAAGGTCCACGCCACGGATACACCGGATACGTCGAGATGAGGACGACGAACCAGTCACCTGAACGAATCGCGTACACGAATCCTCTCCTTCCTGCTCGGTTGCGGCCCGCGCGAGGAGAGTCCCGCGCGAGCGTCTGTCGTTCGTTTCATTTCGGTCTCCGGACCGAGGTCCCGTTTGTCTGGAGACTGTCATGTTTGGCAGCAGCAGCAGCAGCGACGATCGAGAGAGGGACCATCTCCGCGTCGACGCGAAAATCGGCAGTTTCGATGGCGGGCGGCGTCTACTGGACGACGGCGGCGGCGACGACGACGGCGTCGACGACGAGGACGGCGACGTCGACGACGACGACGACGTCGTCGAGAACGACGACGACGACGAGGACGACGACGACGACGGCGACGACGTCGACGACGACGACGACGACGACGGCGACGACGACAACGAGGACGATAACGAAGACAAAGACGATGGAGACGACGACGACGACGCCGGCGACGACGCGGCAGCAATAATAGCCGCCGACGCTGCGAACGCGGCGCGAGGCCGCGCGGAATCGTCGACTAGTCCTCCTCGGGACCCATGTTCATCTGCATCATCTTTTTCTTCGCGATCTTACTGTACTTGATGTCGATCGGCTTCGTCGTGTCGTAGAGACTCGGCGCCTGAAGAATAATCAACACCGTTCCCACCACGCACGCCACCGTGAATATCCACAGGAAGATCCGGTCGAGCACCATCGCGACGTACTTCCAGTCCTCCTCCACCTGCAAGCAGAGAACGCGAAACCGAATTATTAGTTTTCATAGTTTCACGTTTATTCGTTTGAGGAAACAAATCCATTTGGGTAACACATACAAGATTACGAGTTATCGATTAACGATAGGAATCGAGAAGACGATGCATCTGACGCTTCAAACGCGATCGGGCAGAAAACAAATTCAATTAAATTAAGATTTCTAACAATCTTGTTTGGTCTGTTACTCGTCGTATAATCTGTACAATTTGATATGATTCTCTTGTTTTGGAATGGTATGGTGTCTGATGGATATTCGAGATGTGATAAAATAAAAACGTAATACTAATAGCAGGCAAGAAATGGACCCATTGTCGATTTTAAACGCATTTGCTTATTTAACTCCTTGCCGTGCTTTAACGAGTCTGACTCGTGATGAAAATTTTGGCCCAAACATGAATATGACGAGCCAGGCTCGTGAATAGATCGTCGGGCCAAACGTAAACATCACGAGCCGAGGTCGTGCAAAAGTGTCTATATCAGAGGCATTTACATTTCGGCTCGTATTGTGACCTTTCTCGCGCATCAGTCTGATCGGTTTACCACGCGTTGACGCGTAACACTTGGGCCCGAGTTTCATCGAGCTAAATGGCACGGCAAGGGGTTAATAGATTAACACGTTCCGTGCCACGTGTACCATCGATGGTACACGCTTGCATGTTTACTTAGTGAACTGAACAAATTGTTTACAAGAAATTTAGAACCGAAGAATCAATTTCCACCGCAAGAATGGGCGTTGATAAGTTTTTGTTACGTTGTTATGTGTACGAGAATTAATAATTGCACGTAATACATCAAGTTTTAGTAAAATATCAAAGTGTGAAGATTCGAGTAAAAAAAGCTCGGCACGGAACGTGTTAAGTAAAAAGTATGGCGTGCTTAGGCCACGGATATTTCGCGCCGGACTAGGTTGTTTTGTTCCACTGTCTTACGAGAAAATAAGGTAGAAATCTGTTTTGCCTCGTCTAATAAAGAGAGGTCCCTAGGATTAACGTTCACTTTTCGATGAAGCACGGTACTAGAAATATTAGAGAGTGGTGTGAGGTGGGAGGTACGATCCGGCCTACGCGACCCTCGCTGCGTAATCTAGCACGTCTTTTCTGGCATTTCATTAACAACTTTAACATTAATTATCTCAACTATAAGCCGTCTGCCCCTCAGAATCAAGTAACGTTGGATTCAACTTTACAAGCTCTATCACTGCACCCCAAATCTCATCAAAAAGTGAACGTCAACCCTGGGGACCTATCCTTGGAAGTAAAGTTATTAAGTGGAGAAACGTGTGGATAGAAGGACAGATATCGTTGAAGATATTACATGAATTTCTCAGACCCGTTTAGAAACTATTACCAACTGAGAAGTACGCCAGGCACGGGGATAGAAACGTTTGCAATATTTAAATGTTGAGATGATTAAATAGACATTCTGTTTGATTAGAGTTGGCGAAAAAGTATTTCAAATAGTAAATAAGTATTTTAAATGTTATTTATAAAACAGAGTTAAAATATTTCATTTTCCTTGCCGAAAGTAGTTTCTTGCAAAATTTTACTTCGTTTTTAAAGTACTATTTTATGTAAATATTGCGTATTTCATCTACTTTTCTAGGCAACATTTTAATCATTTAAATCTTGTAGTGTAATTATTTATACATATAGTCCATTATATTATTGTACTCAATTTTATCTGGAAGAAAGTGTACATATATTTAAAATGTCTCATAATTAATGGAAGGAGACCTAACTATGAATAACTAAGTCTTATCACAGATATATCACGCGTAAAAATACAAATATACACGCGTATGAAAGAAATATTCGAAGTCACTTGTTTTGTTATTAGAAACCTCGCTTTCGATGATATATCCTAATTATAGCAGGATCTATTCACACTCTATGTATTTATTTTTGTTTACCTATTTCTGATTCCTCCTCGCTGAGATCAATATTAATTATTTCGAGCAGACGTAATATAAAAAGCTAATAATTTAGACTGCCCACCAAGTAGTTACAATTTCAATGGAAGGTTTTCTCTATATCAGCACGAAGTTAATAGAAAGTCATAATAATCCTATATCACCAAAAAGAGCCTATATGTAGTTAGATGTACTATGTCGTTGCAAAAAATCTCTTGAACTCAAAAAAATGCCAAGATATAGATTAACTCAATATAATCAGTTTTATTAATATTATACTATATTTCTATCATATAAGCATAATATTATATTTATTATTCATAAACTATAAGTTTGATTAAGCGCCAAACTGTCGTAAAAAAATAAGAACTACCCTCTTAATCACACAAGAAGGCGATCTTCCCGCTTGTTCGAATAATTCACCGATAACCGACGAGATCGATTGTCTAAAAAAATTTACGGACAACCGCAGCCACTGGAAAGATGATCCGTTGAACTGTTATCTCGACAAGGAAGTCAAGCAAGATCCCCCACATCCGCGCTGTACATTTTGATGCAAGGTCCCCATCGAGCCACCTGATCGGCCAGTATATCCGTCGGTTCCCGATTACCGGTAGGGTGTCCCGGAAAAATTGTCTCGAATAAGGGCTGAGGATGAGTCTCGTCGTCTGAACTCCATCATAAACAAACCGGGGCGTTCCGAAGGCGACGGGCGAGTCGAACCGCTCGTGAACCCCCGGACCCTGCGAAACACATTTCCCTGGCTGTTCGATCCCGTTCCAGGAACGAGAAACATTTTTCCACGGCTTCCCCTCCGTCGTCCCTCTGCGGAGTATCATCTACTCGGCTCGACCGGGGATGGATCCATCATACATATACGTGCTGCCAGTCGGTTGGCTTTATGTACCCAGCTAAAAGGCGAGTCCTATCTCCGAAGTTTCAATCGAGCACCCTTACGACGTATACACAGCGCCGCCGTACATCTCCGCGCGCGGAAACAACCGACAGAGACAACTGATCCGTCATCTGGAGGGTGTATCGGCTTCTTTCGATTCCCTCTGCGACGCGGAAGGAAGTGGACGATAAAACAGACACCCGATACTTTTATGATATCCCTACTAGAAGGATAGAGGTAGGGGGAGAGGTGGTTTCTGGAATATCGTTCCCTTTCAATTCCGTGGAACCCCTTCGCCCGCCGTTTACCGACGCGGAACAAATAAACCCATGTTTGCCAGGCCGACGGCCCCGTTTCTTTGCCTACGCGGGACAAGTTGCTCCGTTGTTTCCAGCAAGACGCGCGGATGCGCGAGAGAAGCTAAAGCTGGCCGGGCGAGGCGAAATTACGGCGATCGAAAAACTTTGTTTAATCCGGGATCACGCCGGGCAAAATCCTTCTCGCCGGCACCTTCGCGACACCAGACTTTGGCTACCATCCAATCCGGAGCCACCAGAGGAATCCCGTTGCGGGCTTGTTGCAACGGCCAAGGAGTACAGTTCGATCGTAAAACACAGTTCGCTCCTCGAGCTATGTCGAATATCTCTGTCGACCATGCATCCGGTCGCGGACCGTCGATCATTGCGGACGTGCCCGCCCGTTCCACCCAGTGTTCGATCCATAGGGTAAAAAATAAAAATTCGAAGTGCAAGATCCAAAAAATCTACTGTCGTGAAAGTTAAACTCTAGGGACACAGGGGAGGGGGATTCTCCTCGAATCCATAACATGGAAAATGTTAAATTTCAGCTATTTCCTTTTCACGACAAATTCTTAAAAAATTATTTATTGTTGTATCTTTGACGCTAGATTTACGGCGCACTAAAAGCAGCTTTTAAGTTAGTTTATAAAAGCAACAATAAGACACTTATTCTGATTTTTAACGAGTGTCATTGTGATATTCGTCGCAGGTAACACATGCAGGAAATAAATAATTCATAAGTGCATCTTTGCAGTCTGAATGATCGTAAAGTAAACAATTAGTGACTCGACATTTTAACGGATTCCGTAAATCTAATGTCATGGTTGATATTAAAAAAATTAAAAACATATTTATGTCTTTTCCAGTATAATATACTCGAACATTGCAAAACATTTTCTTAAAAACAAATTTTCTTCACGATGAATACAGGGTGTCCCATAATTACGTTAACAACCCGGAAGAGATGATTCCTGAGGTGATTTTACATAACTTTTTCCTTAGCGAAAATGCAATCCGTGGCTTCATTTACGAGTTAATAACGAAAAACACTGACCAATGAGAGGTCAGAACAGCTGGTGCCAGGCGACCGAGCCAATGAGCGGAACAGAGCTTCGTCCGCTCGTTGGCTCAGCCGCCACGCGACAGCTGATCTGGTCTCTCATTGATCACTGTTTTTCGTTAATAACTCGTAAACGAAGACGCAGATTGCATTTTCATCAACGAAAAAGTTACTTCAAATGACCTTAGGAATCACCCCTTTCCGGGTGTTAGTTTATTATTTTGATCGATCAAATACAAAATAACTTAAAATTGAACTTTAAAAACCCAATTAAAGTGTTAACCCTAGAACGCTTAAGGGGGCGGATCAAAAATCGTCCACAGAATTTTAAACATGTATTTTTGTTCTAACAAAGTTCTTTTATAAATTTTATATCTATCCAACGGTATTCTATAAATAAATATGCCTCGAGCAGAAAAAATAACATTTATAGCACTTTTTCTAACATGGATACAAAATATCTCATAAGCAGACCTTCCAATACCTTAAGCGTCTAGGATTAATATAAAAGTTAGCTTAAAATAGGAAAATAAACAAATCGGAAATTTAAAATTTACTAAAAAACTTGTGTTTATAAAAAGGTTTACCCTTAAATTACAGATAAATTCAAGCACCATCACTGATCAGATTTATGCAAATAGCTGCTACTTGTAATACGAAAGTGATTCTAACATTTATCTCTGTCAGTAAAGAATACAGCGGATCACTATCTGTAGATCGGATCTTGCGTACTGCGAAGTCGCGGGAGGCAATGAGCAAATTGAATCTAACCGGTGCGGAGAACCCGAGCCACGATCCCGGAGAT